AAGATAACAACTCTAAAATGGCGGAAAGACACTTGCCTGTTTTCTTTCTACAAGGGCATTTGTCAACTGATGGCACAGACCAGCAACTGAAAAAGGAGAACAATTTGTTTTTAAAGAGGAATACAAATGAAACAGTGTGATGGAAAAAAAAAAGTGTTTTCGTACACGTGTCTGTGGCGTATCGGATGTGCTCTCCGTTGCAGGTGCTGATGAAGAGTTGGACTTGGGAAAACAAGGTCTCGAAATCAGGGATGTTTGGCATGGAAAACTTCACAAACCTGTAAAACAGTAACTCTTTCAGATGGCCACAAATCATGAACTCTCAGTGCTATGGGACTCAACAAGCTACGGACTTACAGAACAGCTAGGACACCGAGCGAGTGCTCTTGGATGTCCAGCGCCCCGAGAACAGTGTCCAGATGGGAGAGATTCTTGGCCAGAAGCTCCCCGCTTTTATTGATCAGTTCACATAGTTGAGTCATCTGACCTGAGAAGCATAAGAAGCATTATTATGCATGAAAACATGATTTCATATTAATGATATTATTCTAAAGTAAATGCATATGCGATCAAGGTCTAAATGATGATGAACAGTTACGTCTCCTATACGTGACAGAGAAACATTGATAATAAACATCAAATCTTTTATATTTGATTCTTCATACATCCAACACATCAATTATATTTTTCAGTGACAGAGATGTCATAACTTTAAAATTGTGTTGTTTTTTTATCATAAAAGAGTCAGTGGAAAACAGTCTGCAATTTGGTACAGTTGATGTATTTTGCTGTATGTATATGAATTTTAATTATATTGTCCATCTCCAATTAACCAGTATCACATTCCATAAAGATGACCGTAGTATCAGATATTGCAACAATCTTTAAAAAAAAAAAATATAAAAGCGGGGACCCAAATAAATCTGCATAAGTACAATTGAAAATATTGTAAGATTGATTCTGACCGACTCCTCTTTACAGAAATAACACACGTTGTTTTTGTTTTTTTTATCATGATGTCAATGCAACTAATAGGAAGATCCGGAAGAGAACTAATTACAGGTTTACTGTAATTATTATATAGGTATTTAATGCCATATTTTATAAATGACTCAGCTAACATGACACATCTAGTAATTTCACTAATATAAAAGCTTAACGGTTACGAAGTGGAAATATTCAGCAGCTTTAAGTTTTTTTATTAGTAGTAGGACGAACAGAGTAAGATAAACAAATACCATGTGTTACTCCCTGAAGTATAAACAGCTAGCATGCTATCACGCTAACTAGTTTTAGCATTAAGCTAGTTAGCCCATGGATTCGTTACTCTGAGTGTTCACGAGCGGTGTAAATGTCCGTACCTTGAGCGGAAAGTTGCCGCACATTATTCACGAACTGCTCCAGAGCTGAAGCCATCGTTTTTGCGCTTTTAAGAGGATGTTTTTCATTCAAATGTCAGAACCAGCTTTCCAGTACAGAAGGGACGGGCCCTCTCAGCCGCCAACAGTAAACAACAAATATCGCGAGGTTTGAGTGACAGCTCAGATTCCACGAGATTTCACTCTCACTGGAAAGCAAACTCCGTAGAAGAGATCCTTTTGAGGTAATGTAAGATTTCACTTCACAAACCACACATACCTATTATTTATTTAGAGCTACATGTTTAATTTAAAACAACAAAAATCACAGGATTTAGCCTTTGAAAATGGACATGTGTCTTTAAGGAATAAAAGGAATATGTCATTATTTCTTCCGGTACAAAACACAACAGAGACACTCTCTGACTGGAGAGATGATCAACTTCTCACTTTGCGAGCAAAAGAAAGCAGGATTGATAGTTGAATTAAGACTCTGCTTCGGGTGAATAGTTTAGGTTAATAATAAAGGCTAAAGTCGAGATCTTTATATTTTTCAATATTTTAGAGAACATTTTTAAAGAAATAGTTAAGCAAATAATTATTTGCTTAGCTTGTGAGCTAATACTGAGAAAATTTTAATTTGGTCATATATAGCTTCGGATATGTGACAATTTAAAATATATTAATTGTAGTATTTACCTATTTAAGGCATGTGCAAATGTTGTATCATTTTATATTTGTCTTAAAGAAGAGTGCACAAGTTCTGTCAGCCTTGTTTTTCTGGAAGTATTTATCCCATAGGGATTTTTTTGAAAGTATTTGTTATAGACTAATCAAACCAACTTGATATTAGGAGAATCACTATATTAAAAAACTATGATTTGAGCCCAAAAAAGTTTATTTCAAAATATACAAACATGTAAGCAGTATCAGTACTTAACACACGACTTGATTGTTTAAATTACCAGATCTGTGAAGTTTTTTTTTTTTTTTTTTTTTTTTTTTTGCAGAATAATGGTTAATATAGTTTTTCAGCCGGAATTCCACCGTTAAACATTATTATTTTAAAAAAAGTTTGTATAATGGTTATAAGTTGTCGTTCAAAAATCAATTCCCCCAGTATGGAGAAAATTAATGGAGTTTTTTACTTCCGGAAAACCGACTGTTGAATCGCTTTGGGAGTCCAACCCCATAGATATTTATACATAGAAACCACATTCGGCAACTTCAATCACGTCGGTGCGTCCGCCATCTTGGAACGGTCAGTGTTTCGTTATTCACAAAAAGAATCGATGATAATGAATCAAAGGATTGAATCAATGACAAAGAATAATGATGCCACAACATTGTGCTGCTTTTGGTTGTGAAACAGCCCAGATTTAAATTCCAGAAGAAATGGGATAATAACCTTCAGAGGTGGAAAGTAACGAATTACATTTACTCGCGTTATGTAATTGAGTAGTTTTTTTGTGTACTTCTACTTTTTTAAGTAGTTTTTAAAATCTGTACTTTTACTTTTACTTAAGTATGTTTTCTTTGAAGTATTGTACTTCGCTACATTTGAAATCATATCCGTTACTGAGTAAAAAATAATAAAAGAAAAAAAAAAACACACTCCGGAAACTACAGCATTGATTGAAGGGCGGGAGAACAAACGCGCAAAAAAGGTGACGCAGAACCAGCTGAAGCTGAAACCGAAGCGCCAAGCGAATTATGGCCAGTATGAAAATACTTTGTAGAAAAAAAGCGTGGTTGTCCTCGAGGATAGATATCCAATTTGCAAGAAATGTGGACGCAAAGTGGCTGCAAAAGGAGGATATAGGACACCATCCCTCCTGCAGATAAAGGTATGTCCCGATTTACGTGATGCAGAGGGAACCCCGGAATCCAGTCATGAAAATAAAATTTACATAACGCAGATGTCACGTAAAACACGCAAAATAATGGATGGATGAATACATGGAAAGTAGAACTGTGCAATAAATCCAATCGCGACATGGTCTGTGAATATTTAAGCTTAGCACAAAAATACTGCATGTAAATATAACCCTATTTGTTCTGCTGAGCTGCGCCGCTTTGTCTACTACATACTCAAGTACGCGTGACATTCAGAGTCTCACAAACAATTTGAGGATATGAATACATGAACATTTCCAGAGCTGCTCTGAGAGAACGCCTAATGAGCATTTTCATAATTTTATTTGAGATAAACCATTGTCAAATACACTTTGAAACACTTTTTTACACTTTTGGTCTTCACTACAACCCGTCAAAATAAAAGTTTGGTTTTACTAGGAGAAATTAGGACAGAAATATATTACTATTAAGCATACAATAGAACGTAGCCTACTTCTCTAAATAATAATAATAACAACAATAATAATACATTTTATTTAAACATTATTTAAAGGAATATATTTTTTGTCCATGGTTTAATTTTGTAAATCTGTTTTTGCAGCGCTTCCCCAAAAAATAAAAGGACACAATTTTAAATTTACATTTGATTACAACTGTTTTTGATCATATATTTGGATTAAATCATTAAAGGAAACATTAATTTTCTGAATAAAATACATTTCATAGGACAATATTTTTCTTAAACATTTTATTAAATTATTAATGTTAAAAATAAGTTGTTAATCTAATTCATTATCAAATTTAATTGATTAGACATGTTTTATTGAAATTTTAATAAACAAAACAAACAAATGGTTTCAAGTTTGTTATAATAAAAGCATTTGTTCAACCAAAAAAAAATCCTGTTTTCATTAAAGGGGCACTTCACCTCTGGAAAGATGAATGTGTATTTAAAATGGGTCTGGGTCATTTATGTAGAAGAAATGAGCACGGTAATTCGAAAATACTACAGGTTTTCTACTGATACAAAGCTTAATGCTAAATCCTGAAGTGACCCTTTAATTTAACTGTCATTTTAACTGAAAGAATAATAATAATAATAATACCCATAATTTAATAATACAGTTTATTTATTTATTAATTGATTAATACTGTAAACCGTGATATTTTCTGAGACTTATCATACTGTGAAAATCTCATACCATTACAACCCTACACGGGGGATTCCCCCACACCACCCCCGCTGTTAAAAAAGTTACTCAGTAACTTTTACTCTGAGTAAATTTTAAATGAGCTACTTTTTACTTTTACTTGAGTAGATTTTTAGACCAGTACTTTTACTTTTACTTAAGTAAAATTTAATTGAAGTAGTAGTACTTTTACTTGAGTAGAATATTTTATTACTCTTTCCACCTCTGATAACCTTTCAAGGGTGGGAATGTGTTAGATATGTATTAATTCAACATTACATGTGTTTATTCTGTGGTAACACGTGTTAGCAGCCGATACCTCCGTCTAGTTGTTTTGTGTTAGTTTAGCAAAATAATCTGCTGAAGTCTATTGCAGGTAGAGACATTCATACATGCGTCTAACTACGGTCGCAGATGCTCGGTCAACTTGCTCTCGAGTGTTCACGGACCGTTCCAATATGGCGGACGGCATCCGCCAGTGAGGCATCTATGTTTGTATTCTACGGTCTTGTATTCTACGATACTTGAGAATCCCAAACGAGTGCGCGATCTCTCTTTTCGCAAATAGCCTCGGTTTGTTGTTCATTGACAGTGTAGAGCAAAAATAGCCACTATTTTTCAGCATGATTTTGAGTATGTAAACAAAGTGGTCAGATTAAAAACCACACACACTAACGTTACTGTATCAATAACGTGCTTAATTTCGCAAACACTCCACGTTTGACTTTAGCTGGCCTTTGCTCTGCTGTAATGTAAACAAATGCAGATTCGGGAGGTCAACGCTGCAATTCAACACCAGCGACCGCTGGAAAAACATGAGACCCTCTGACCCCACAGAAACTAACAAAAGAGTCGCACAAACGCGTTTACAATGTGCAAAACAAAAGAGAGCCAACAGAATGAGATGTGCTAGCAATCAGCATCACTAGCATAAGGGTTAATGCACACTGTCAAGTGACTGACGTTGGATTTGGACGGTTATTAAGAGGTTTATGATGAGTTTATTGCCGAGGATCGTACGGTGGCTCGAGAGGAGCTCTTCCTCGTTGCACTTTCACTATCAAAGCAGAGTAAACATGTGTACGAACAACAGAAGACTGCGAGTTCTGGTGGACATGGACGGGGTCATCGCCGACTTCGAGGGAGGATTTCTGAAGAAGTTCAAGGCGAGGTTTCCCAATGAGCCTTTTATATCATTAGAGGACAGAAGAGGATTCTGGGTGTCCTCACAGTATGGAGACATGAGGAGTGACCTGTGTGTAAGTGTGTGTGTGACGTATGAAATAGTCTGTTCGGTGAAAATTTAACCTTACGACTATTTTTTTTTTTTTTAAACCTAAAAAGGTTTGTATGTGTTTTATGTTTCATATTCATGGCTCATATAGTATGATATAGTGAGAATATGGAGGAAAAAACATATTACAAAAATATGTAATTTGCTGCAGATGCTGATATTTATATGGACAAAACGTGATGGAATTCTAATGCTTGTAATGCAAATCATTGAGATATTTATTTATAACAGATGTTTATGCATATAAATATCAATATCTGTCAAATGTAAATCAAACAGTACAGCAGATACTGACATAAAATGCATATAAATATCAATATCTGCCAATAATATATCTTAGTAAGATTATATTTAAAGGCTTAGTTTAATTATCAAAGCTCTGTAGTTTTAAAAGATAGGCCTATAATGCAGTGCAACACAATGATGACTGAGAGATGAACAAATAAACCTGATCAAAAGCCAATCATCATATTTGTTACTCATAATTTTTCACACACACAAAAAATGTATGGATAATCAAGTAAACCTGCTTCAGTCCAGTTGAAATATTAGCCTACTAACAATATTAAATTTGATAAAATCAGTGCAGATTACAGCAGAAAGACACTGAAGGTTTGTTCAGTTACACTAACAGGCTTTTACTTGTGTACTTGTTTCTGACGTCACAAACGACCTTGTAACCAATCAGATCAACGTGTGATCGTCAACCAGTGGATCTCTGAGCTGAGGGAGTGAGTGGAGGCGGGGCTCATTTGAATATTCATAGAACCGCGTATACTAAATGAGGCAAGGGTGTCGAGTTACATTCCAGATATTTTAAGGCATGAAGAATTTTTTTAAAAAAAATATGTCATTTTGGCGATCAAAGATGAGTTTTACGTGATAAAATTGTCTAGCGACTATTATTGATGTTGTTAAAACAACATTTTCTATAACTTCTAATCTAAGTTTGCTCTGATTGCAGGACAAGGCCATCAGCATTTGGGAGTCAAAAAACTTCTTCATGGAACTGGAGCCTCTTCCCGGAGGAGTCGAGGCGCTGAAGGAGATGTCCAAGATGGAGAAGTAAGACTTCAACTAGTTATATCATTAATTTTATTTGTTGCAATCATGGAAAATCAAATACCTATACCTAAATCAAATACCTATAAACCAGCCACCCTCCAGAAGATCTTGCATAATAGTCATATAGATTATGAAAACCCCAAATTCAAAATTAGAATATTGTGAAAAGGTTTTCATAAGCTGTAATCCATAATCATCACAATTATAACAAATAAAGGCTTGAAATATCTCACTTTGCATGTAATGAGTCTATATAATATATTAGTTTCACCTTTTAAGTTGAATTACTGAAATAAATTAACTTTTGCACGATATTCTAATTTTTCGAGTTTCACCTGTATTCCAAATTAGTATCTATGACTAGTTCTCATTCATTACATCTCAATAGTATCAAGGATTGCATAATAGTCAGATAAACGAAGCTAGTAATAGCTAAACAATCTCCCTTGAGTAAATGTTTGTCTGGATATTACCATCTGACTTACTTTGTCTTTTCTTCCTCCAGTACAGATGTCTTCATTTGCACCAGTCCAATAAAGCATTACAGCTTCTGCCCGTATGAAAAGGTGAGATTCTCTTAAACTGAGCTTCATTTATACAGTCAAACCAAAATGTATTCAGACACCTTCAACATTTCTCACATTATCAGCTTTTATTCACTATAGAAAAATGGTAATGAAATATGAGCAGAACTCAGTGGATATTTGACTGGTTTTGTCCGTCCTTCTGTTAGACTCTCACACATGAATTATGTTGAATATCTGTCAGCTGTTAAATTTAACTCCACAATTAGATTATACCAGTTTAGCTCAACCAGTGACCAAGCAATGCTTCATGTTGTTCAGTGTGTGTGTAAAAAGAGCATTAGCAATTACAGAAAACACACTTTGATCAGCTCAAAGTGTCCGAATCATTTTTGCTCCCAAATTTGTATAAATTTGACACTGTATAAAGAAATTTTTGGGTATAATATGTCATAGTTTGCTTTATTTTGCTCTCCTCCTTACATAAATGAACTATAGTGTCCTGCACACACTAGTAAAAAAATATAAAAAATTATATCTGGTGTCTGAATAATTTTTGGTTTGATTGTAGATGTTGGTCTGATTTTCAGGGTCAGTGACGTCACAATCGTTTTTTTTTTTGTCTCGTAATATCAGTAAATTATGCATATTTACGAGCAAACCCAGATTAACATAACACGGGACGTATTTGTGTATTTGCACTGTAACAAGGACGCATTAAAACAAAGTGTGACCCATTATTTTTGTTATATCTATTAATGTTCTCAAAATGCATTTAATACAGTGGCTTGCGGCCTCATTTATAAAACTTTGCGTAGGATTTGCGTCAGAAGTGGCGTAGGGATGAAACATAGGACGTGCGTACGCACAGAAATATTCGGATTTATAAAACCGTGCGCACGCACATCCTACGCATTTTTCCCTTAATAAATCACAATCAATTCTAAATGTAGCGCAGCTTTTGCGGCTTCATGTCACGCTCATAGTTGCCCATAAATAGTCCGTGAAACGCCCATAAGTTAATATTCATCGATTGCGAAATCATGGCAAACATAGAGGAAATTAAAAAAACGTAACTTCACTCAATGTGAAGTAGAAGTTATCGTTGGCGAGGTGGAAAAGAGGAGAAAAATGTTGTTTGGAGGGCACAGTGTGGCCATTACTAATGAGTGGCAAAAGGTTGCAGACGCCGTAAATGCTGTAGCCTCACACCCTCGGACTGTGGCCGAAATAAAAAAGAAATGACAAGCTACAGATGTCGGTTATAATCTACTTATAGTTCAGCACAAATGTAATTTCTTGCAGCTTTCTGAATGGTTGAGACATACGTCATACGTTATTGTATCAAAAATAAAACAAACTAAAGGCATATGCATGAATTACCTGCATGAATACCATGTTTCCGTAGCTGATAAAGACATTTTTACTATGAAAACAACTTTCCCCAGTGGACAAATAATACATCTATCTATTTATCTATCTATCTCTCCCTAATTATCTATCTATCTGACTGACTATCTAGCTATATCTGCTCCGCCTGACGGACACATGGCGAGAATATCAGTTTTGTACATTATTTCGTTCTGTTTACCATCTTATTTATGAGGATGAATTGTACAACATGCCAATATTATTGCAGAACATATTTCACTTTTCTTTTTGCAAATATGTGTTAATTTGCAATTCTGTTGCAGATCGATCAAACGGGTGTTTGTGTAGGCTGTTAATTGTAAGACTTGCTTTGTGACGTCTTCGTGTTATTTATGAGAGGCAGTATTGCCATTACACAACGGTCTACAGTTTCACACACTTTCACGTGTTTCTTCCCTCTGCCGACGGTGTCGCCATTTCTCATTTCACCCGTTTGTGTGCGTACGCCGGGGTCAGAGCTTGCGTGAAGGACCGCACATTTTACCGTCAAGTTTGCTTTTTATAAATACCAATTATTGCGTAGAGAGCGGCGTACGCCTTCTTTTGTGCGTACGCAACGTTTATAAATGAGGCCTCTTGATGAACAGAATTAAAATTATTTTCATATTTTTGCACAGTATGAAGTCAAAAATGTTACTGTGATACAACGTATCTTGATATTTTATAACAAAGAAAATAACATCAAATGTCTTAGGTAGTTATTCTTCTATTATTTCTTAGAATTTTGGAAAAAAATACTTTAACAAAACTGCTGCTAAAGTTCACTTGATCAATTTTTGCATAATAACTTTTCTAGAAATCCTATAACTGTTTATTTACAGGTATATATATATATATATATATATGTGTGTAAAACCTGTAAATAAACAGTACACACACACACACACATATATATGCACTGTATGTGTTTGTATGTATGTACAGTGTGTACATGAATAATATACATACATAAATATGTATGGGTGTGTATGTACTTTATATATATATATGTGTATATTCATGTATGTATGTGTGTGTGTGTATATATATGTGTGTGTGGTGTTTAGATTTTTCATCATCACTATAAGAATAATTGTAATTATTGTTAAACAAATAATCAATCAATTATATATATATATGTATGTATGTGTGTGTGTGTACTGTATATGTTTGTATGTATGTATGTATGTATGTATGTACAGTGTATGTGTGTGTATATATATATATATAGTTATTGTTAAATAATCAATACATTAAGGATTTAAAAAATATGATAGAGATGATATATTATAAGATATAATTTATATAATATCCTGTTTTCAACAGTAATGCAACTAGAGTCAGTATTTCAGTGCATTTTCTTCCCATCTCCACGGTTTCCCCTCATCACGTGTGTTTGTCCACAGTACGCTTGGATAGAGAAACATCTGGGCCCCGAGTTCCTGGAGCAGATCGTCCTGACCCGAGACAAGACCATCGTGACCGGAGACGTCCTCATAGACGACAAGCCTGATATCCTCGGTGAGTAAGAGCGCCGTATATCAGGTGTCTGTGTATATCTGAGAAACACATGTGTGTTTTTCCCAAGCGGAAACCTTCCAGTCTCTCTCTTGAAAACATCTCTGAAGTGAGTTAAACTGCAGTTCCTCCACTGGCCACTAGAGGCCGGCTGCAGAAGAGAGTCAATCCCATAGACCTCCATGTTAAAATGCCCAACTTTACAGCAGAATAAAACATGTTTACAGTCTGGTGCAAAAAGTGGTTTTGGCCTATATCACTAATTTTGCCCTTCATGACGACTGTGAGAGGAGTGAATTTTTTTATAACTCATCCGTTTAAATTATATTAAGCCTTAAAGTTCTGCATAATTAAGGGCGTGGCCACTTGAGTGACAGGTGGGTTGCCGCTGATGTCACTGCTAGCCTTTTTTTTTATTACAACTACAGTCAGGGGGGTACAATGAGTAAACAAACAAACAAACAAACAAACAAAAAAAGACATATATAAAGAAACGGTGACTTATCAGTTAAACAAAAATGTGCAAATGTTTACAGATTGAAACACACTTTGCAGCTTTCTTATTTTTCAAACCCAATAATGTTTAGGTATTGTTGAATTTCTGATCTTAAAATTAAAAACAAAGACTTGTTTCCTCCAAATTTACATTTATGAATACTATGAATTTAGCTAACAGAGGAAGCACATTCATTAAGTTACATTCCTTATGATAAGATTTGTCATAAGAGAAAAAAACAAATAACATATTTTTAAAGCACAGTTGAAAGCTGGGGATGATATGATCCTGAAATAATGTAATCAATCAAACTGTAATTCATGTAATAATCTTTATTTTTATCCTGATTATTTATATAGTTAAAGTGAAAGAAATAAAAAATGTTGGTATTTTTGCGACATTGTTAATTAAGCAATAAGCCATAATATATATATATTTTAAATTACAAGCATGTCATAATTAATTCTTAAACAGAGTTATGCTTTTATCATATTTGTTATCAAAGTTTCTTATAAAAGAAATATCATAGATGGTTAGAAAAAACGTCATCTCTAATCATTTCGGATAGCTGTATGCTAAGCTACTATCCAAGCTAACTAAAAAAAACACGAATAACGAGAAATGTGTAATTTCGCAATCTATAGCTTCGGTTATATACTAGCATATGAAACGTATACGTTAAAAGACATTAATGGTGGTTATAACGTAGTTCAAACGACTCGTTTAATAAAGTGATATCTTATTTGTAACCAGGCACTAAAGCGATTACCTAAAAAACGTGCTTTGAACCAATCGGATTGCTTGGGTCCTCAGCTGGGACTCATCACTTCACCACACCGGGAGTGAAGGAAGATAAAGAAGATATTTTTGTTTATATTTTATTTTTGACTGCTAAAACTAATATAATTTGTTGTTTGCCTTAATAATGTAAGCGTTCTAGCGTGAAAATCTTGCCTATAAATAGTGTTGCACGCCTTCTTATCAAATTCAAATGATCATCCTCTCCTCTATTTTGCTTGGGAACTAATGAGGTCGGAACTAAAGTTTACAGGACTACGTTCCCTGGAATCCTCTCGAACCGAGCACTTCTAAATTCTGATCATTACCATAAAGTTGACCTGACTTCAACTTCTCGCTGCTCTCGCCGTCCAAGAGACGCGCATTGAAAATGAATGACTTCCAGCCACTTTGACCATAGATATCCATAATAAAGGCTAAATGTCTCGTCCGCGCTGCTGGCCAATGGAGGTCGACGTCCGCACTGGCGGCCATCTTGCCACAGGCAGCTCGCTCACTCGTAACATTGTGTTTTAACGGTGCATGTACTTTTTAAATAACCACAACTTGCTCAATTTTCTACCGATTCTCAAACAGTTTGGTTTGTTATAAACGTCAGAGATGTAGTTATGACACTGCATACTTATGAATAATAAGTGTATAAATAAATAATCATCCAGAATTATAGCCACGTTAATAACTTTTGTAAGAAACCAAACCGTTTGTAAATCCGTCAAGATTTCGACGAGTATTTGTGTTCGTGCTGATCACTCATCTTACATCAGGCACCACAGAGCCCGCCAGAAAGCTTGCCTGTGACAAGATGGCCGCCGGTGATGACGATAGAGACTCCGCCGTGCCTTTATTATGGATATCTATGACTTTGACGCTCTCGCCGGCGGCGGTGTGAACGCACGGTAATGCTGCCAAGATGGCGACGGCCGGCTCCGCCCACTTTGGGCTTCAAAAACGCTCTTCGGAAACACTACTGGTGACGTCACGCACACTACGTCCATATTTGTTTACAGTCTATGGTTTTTCCATTTTTCCTTTGCAGTTTGCAAAGCTGAGAGATTTTCAATAGGCTGATAGGCAGTATTTTCCGCATGTCATGGTCTCCGTAATCCCATGCTTTTTTACAGTCTGTGGTTTTGTGTTGAAGGTGTGGAGCCGAATCCGTCGTGGGAACACGTTCTCTTCACCGCCTGCCACAACAAACACCTGGAGAACCCTCCGCAGCGCCGGCTTCTGTCCTGGGCCGACGACTGGAGAGCCGTTCTGGCCAGCAAACGCCAGTGAGACACGACATCCCATCATGCTCTCCTTCCACAGGGAAACCAGATCTGATAGAGACAGAGCGACACGCGTCACAATCTAACAACACACGTACGTACACAATGGGGGAAACAATCCAACCGTCTCCATTGAGTTTGCAGTGTGTGAATCGCCTCCTCGTCCTTTAGGACTTATAACAAAAAACAAAACAATGTCTAAAAGCTGCTTTGTGACAAGATGTACAGCAAACAAGCTAAAAAACACGTTTTTATAAGCTGTCGACCCAAAAAACAAGCATTTAAAGACACAAAAGTCATATTACTCTGAGATTTGACTTATGCCAACTGGAGGGGGACGTAATCGATATTGAGTTTACAGAAATATAATATATAAAACTGATATTTGACTTACCTGTGACAATGTTTACTGCACATGTCGTGTGTTTTTAGTCCATACTGAGTGTCAGGATCACACAATTCACCCATTTATATCCACTTTTGTGTCCTTAAACGCTTGTTTTTTGAGTCGGCAGCTTATAAAAACGTGTTTTTTAGCTTGTTTTCTGTACATCTTGTCACATAGCAGCTTTTAGACATTGTTTTGTTTTTTTGTTAAAAGCCATAAATGACGAGGAGGCGATTCACGCAATGTAAAGACGGTTGGAGTGTGTCCCCCCCCTGGTGTGTGTGTGTGGTTTTCAGATTGTGACGCGTGTCGCTCTCTCTCTATCAGATCTCTGGGGGAAAAACATCCCATCATGCTCTCCTACGACAGGGAAACGAGATCTGATGGGTATCAGCCCTCATGTCCAGTGTTATTCTGCCGATCGATTACATGACGGGGGAAATACACTGTGTTTTTGTAGGACACACACACACAGTTTTTCTTGCAAGACTTTTTATTGTTTATATGCATTCATAGAGAGCTCACATACTCATCGTTTACATCAAGCATAAACTGCCTTTCTACAAAGCGGATTGAATATTGAAATACTTTTTACGCTCCCACCTCACACATGAGCATGAACGATTTTTCACTGGTTTTCTCTCAGTTCAGTACGTTAACATGAATGCATGATTAATTTATTATGAAGTATAGTTTTAATTCAGGGAGAGCCACTGTAAAAAGGGATCAGTTGACTTAAACTTAAAATTTAGGAAATCCGTTGTCTTAAAATTATTAAGTAAATAAACTTCATGCTTAATCGAATTAGGTCATTTTTCAATTAAGCATTAAGTTTATTTACAGGTGAAACAAGAAAAATTAGAATATCGTGCAAAAGTTAATTTATTTCAGTAATTCAACTTAAAAGGTGAAACTAATATTTTATATAGACTCATTACATGCAAACTAAGATATTTCAAGCCTTTATTTGTTATAATTGTGATGATTATGGCTTCCATCTTATGAAAACCTTTTCACAATATCCTAATTTTGAATTTGGGGTTTTCATAAGCTGTAAGCCATAATCATCACAATTATAACAAATAAAGGCTTGAAATATCTTAGTTTGCATGTAATGAGTCTATATAATATATTAGTTTCACCTTTTAAGTTGAATTACTGAAATAAATTAACTTTTGCACGATATTCTAATTTTTTGAGTTTCACCTGTACTTTAAAAAAAAAATTGTAAACCCGTTTTTTTTTTACAATTATTAAGTAAGTTAACTGATCACTTGTACAGTAAGGTACAGTAAGACAGGTTTGAATGTTCCAGCTTGTGTTGTTTGATGTGAATGCCGGAGCACTGCATGTGTTTCTCTGGGGATGTGTTGCACTCCCGACACTAGGGGGCGCTACGAGCACATGGATTTATTATAACGCCTGTGAAAAAAAAAAAAAAAGTTTTGCTTTTTAATTTCGGTTAATACTTTTATTAGTTTGGAATGACTCTTTTAATAAACTTTTTATGAATTTGAGGATAGGTGTTTGGTTTATGGTTTGTACATTACCTCTGGGTGTCATGGATGAGAACGACGTACTGTTGAAATGTTTGGGGTCGGTGAGATTCATTAAATTGACTAAATTACCTTACAAAAGATTTCTATTTTAAAAAATACGGTTCTTTTGAACTTCCAATTCATCAAAGAATCCTGCAAGAATAAAATCTATCACAGTTTCACCAAGTTTTCATGTTTCCTGAGCATCAAATCATCATATTAGAGTGATTTCTGAAGGATCACGTGACACTGAAGACTGGAGTAATGATGTTAAATCACATTTTACAATATATTCACATAGAAAATATATATAGAAATAATCCCGAATATGCTTACTTGCTGCTCAAGAAACATTTCTGATTATTATCAATGCTGAAACAGTCGCTTTTTGTGGAAACTGAAATCTTTAGTAACATAAAAAATGCCCATTTTGATCAATTAAAATGCGTCCTTGCTGAATAAAAATCTTCATTTCTAAAAAATAATCTTAATGACCCCAAACATTTGCACAGATTAAATATATTTGCAGATGTGTGAGACCAACATGTTTAAAACACTACTGTCTCAATCACAGTGACTGAGATTTGAACACGGGTTTATCATCCGTTGACTAGAACAAACAAACGAAACATAATCGAATTTGGGGTTTTCATAAGTAAACCATAATCATCAAAATTATTATAATTACTGAAATAAATGAACTTTTGCACGAGTTTCACCTGTATTTGTATTAACTAACATTAATAAAGATTAACATAAACAGTAACAAAATGTATTGTTCATGTTAGTTAACACATTAACTAATGAAACCTTATTGTAAAGTGTTACCGAATAAGTAAATGTGCAGAATTTGACCTGAAAACACTACAATATTCATGCATAAACAACCCGATACTCTCTAGTACTGTCTTTGTGCAGTGATGGCTCCATTAGCCAGTTTGCAGGGTGTTGCATCAAGGGTCAAAGGTCACCGGGTTCGGCTGAACTGTTAAACCGGCGGTCGTGAGAGAGCGCTTCCGTTCTTCGCTGATGTTTGACCAACACCGGTGATGCATTACATGTGTTGTCTGTGCTTCCTTTTGTCCTCAAAGTATTATTTTTTTTATTTTTGTTGTGCTTTGTGCCATGTAATTTAGAAGTAGAAATGAATTAGTTTGTAAATGTTCATTTAAAAAGTGAAGTTTACACATGAATGCTAATGATCAAGAAGTGGTGCTAGTGTCCGGACCTGAATAAATAGCCATGAACACCAACGCTGTTGTGTTTTCATTATTATCAACAGTAGTTCTTCTTGTAGACATTTATGTTTGGATTAAATTTGATTTTTGTAATATTTTAACAGTTACGCTATATGGTACAATGGGACTAAAGAAAAAAAAATAGCTTTATACTACTTCCATAATCCATAGTGTATGATTGCAGAAAAAATAAATATGTTTGTATTGAACATTTATGGAGCAAAATTATATATATAAAAGTGGTTTATTAAAAATATCATGAATGTATTAGGTGGCGACATTTATATTCATACTTTAGCTCAAATAATTGTTTTTAATAACGTCCAAGTACTTAAAGTTTGCGCTGTTTTCTGTTTGTTCAATAAATACATTGTCATTAAAATGTTAATAAAACTATTTTTAAAAATACAGAAAATAAAAAATATTTTAAAAAGTTACGGTTTTGAAAGCATTGAAGATCCCATAATAATTGTATATATATTTACAGTTGTAACAATAAATTATATGTTATTATATGATGTGATCAATATCATATTTTCAAATATAATGGTTTCATTATAAAAATGGTGATTATCTCTAAGGTGGACACCAAACTTAACATGTGATATTTACATATGTCAGCAGATGGAAAAGTCGGGCGGTTGTTTATTATCATGTTAGTTATTGTGTCTTTCGCCTCGACTGCATATTCTTCCGTTATTAAAAAAAACTGTTGCTTTAATTACCTTGAAAAAAACTGAAAATCATTAACAAGACCTTCGTCTCAAAAAATATTGAGTCATTTTAGCGATTCTCGTTTGCTACTTAAATCTACAACATTTGAAATAACATCAGATCAAATTAGTTTAGAATCAACTTTCAACTCAACAAAAAGGTTTGGAAGCTCGTTTCCACCACAGAATGAAAAATAAAAAAGGTAATTGCGACTTTTTATCTCACAATTCTGACTTTTTTTCTCACAATTGCGAGATGTAAACTTTATTTCAATTGCGAGATATAAAGTCGCAATTGCGTGTTGTAAAGTCAGAATTGCGAGATATAAAGTCGCAATTGCGTGTTGTAAAGTCAGAATTGCGAGATATAAAGTCGCAATTGCGTGTTGTAAAGTCAGAATTGCGTGTTATAAAGTCAGAATTGCGAGATATAAAGTCTCAATTGCGTGTTGTAAAGTCAGAATTGTGTTATAAAGTCAGAATTGCGTGATATAAAGTCGCAATTGCGTGTTGTAAAGTCAGAATTGCGTGTTATAAAGTCGCAATTGCGTGTTGTAAAGTCAGAATTGCGTGTTATAAAGTCGCAATTGCGTGTTGTAAAGTCAGAATTGCGTGTTATAAAGTCAGAATTGCGAGATATAAAGTCTCAATTGCGTGTTGTAAAGTCAGAATTGTGTTATAAAGTCAGAATTGCGTGATATAAAGTCGCAATTGCGTGTTGTAAAGTCAGAATTGCGTGTTATAAAGTCAGAATTGCGTGTTATAAAGTCAGAATTGCGAGATATAAAGTCTCAATTGCGTGTTGTAAAGTCAGAATTGCGTTATAAAGTCAGAATTGCGTTATAAAGTCAGAATTGCGTGATATAAAGTCGCAATTGCGTGTTGTAAAGTCAGACTTGCGTTATAAAGTCAGAATTGCGTGATATAAAGTCGCAATTGCGTGTTATAAAGTCAGAATTGCGAGATATAAAGTCTCAATTGCGTGTTGTAAAGTCAGAATTGCGTTATAAAGTCAGAATTGCGTTATAAAGTCAGAATTGCGTGATATAAAGTCGCAATTGCGTGTTGTAAAGTCAGAATTGCCTTATAAAGTCAGAATTGCGTGATATAAAGTCGCAATTGCGTGTTGTAAAGTCAGACTTGCGTTATAAAGTCAGAATTGCATGATATAAAGTCGCAATTGCGTGTTGTAAAGTCAGAATTGTGT